ATACAGAAAAGCTAGGAATTGTACTGGTAATTGGCTTGATTATCAGAGATTCACAGGAACCCCAACTTCCATTGAAGTCAATGTGTATGTGCAGAATAGTTGAATGATCTGTTGTATATTTTATCTAAGTTCAAAGCTTGTTTTTGCTAATTAATAGGCCAAACTCACTTTTAATCATATGGCTGCAAGTCACTGGGATAGGCTTAATTATCTATATCACTGCAAATGACCTAAAACCTCATATTAAAAGAAAAAGAATGGTCATGTTTCTATAATATAAGGCAAAAATAGCAATGATGCAAAGCTTGCTTTTGATACAGGACAAATGGTACAACAAATGACACAAGTCAAAACATGTAGACGCCATGCTTTCATCTTAGTGAGAGACGGGAGGATGACACTTGAATTTCTCAGACTGCCACATTTCCATTAGATAGGACCTACATAGGGAACAAGTACAGTAATTCCTCACTTCACATGTGCCTGCTTAATATGTTTTCACGATAGCACGATTTTTTTTTTTAGGGAACATTTTTCAAACAACACGACCCCATCCCCGCAATAACATGATTTCTCCTAGGGGTGGCTGGCAGCTGCGCGAGGCTTCCCCTGCCTCCCTGCAATGCGGCAGAGGTTTCCCGCTTGCAGCGCTGTTCCCCCTGACCTCCTCTAGCCGGACGCAAGGCATCTGGCCAGAGGGGATCACCGGGGAACTGCACGGCGAGTGGCAAACCTCTGCCACTTTGTAAGGAGGCAGAGGAAGCCCCGCGCAGCTGTCGGTGACCACCCAGTTGGGGACACCCAGCCGCTGGCTGCAAGCACCCTCCCCTGTCCTTCTCTTCCCTTCTCCAGAGCCAAATACCTCCCCTCCTGCTATAACCCAGTCCCCTTTCTCCCTAAACCTTATGTCCCAGTCCCAGCTGCTAACAAGTGCAGGCTGGAGCTGCGAGCGCACGTGCGCTTGAAATACACCCCCCACCTTTTCCATTATTTTCAGTGGGAAAATTGACCTCACATAACACGTTTTCACTTAGCACGATCATTCTCTGAAATGTATCTACCGTGTTAAATGAGGAATTACTGTACTTAACAAAGGGCTTGTCAGTCTAGCCAAAAAAGGTATAACAAGATCCAATAGTTGGAAGTTGAAGCCAGAGAAATTCAGACTGAAAAAAAGGTGTAAACGGTTAACAGTGAGGGAAATTAGCATTGGGGACAACTTTCCAAGGGCTCTGGTGAATTCTCCATCATGGGCAATTTAAAAATCAAAATTAGATTTTTTTTAAAGGCTGTGGTTTAAAATGAATTATTTGGGGGAAAATCCTATGGCCTGCTTGATGGAGGAGGTCAGACTAAGTGATAACGCTTGTCCCTTTTGGCCTTAGTATGTCTGAATCTATGAAAATGAGGTGGGATAAAATGGCTGATGCTAAAAGCCAGAAGATGACAACAGAATCCATCACGGACCGAGTCATCATCTTTGTGGATTTCCTCCTGATACTAGCTTCAACCACAAAATGATAAAAATTGGTGAGGACTCTGACCTGACATCTCCTGGGGAGGTGGCTCTGGGCTGGGGCTTGTAATGACAAGGGTTCAAGTGCAAGTCCCATCCCAACTCAGTCCCAAAGTCAAGTATCAGGAGCAGAGAAGGAAGCTGATTGCAAACCAGGCATTGCTGCCAGGTTTCTTTGTGCCAGGTCTGCCTTTGCAGAGTGCACTCTCAATCGCAGCTGGAAGGCACTGACTGTAGGGGTGTATAAAAACAAAGGGGGTAGTATTGGGAGAACATCTCAAGTGACTCAACCTCTTTGGTTCCTTTGACATTCTTATCCTTACTTTTTAGTATGTATTTAGCTGTGATCACACAAGGAGGCTTCTTGGGAAGTTTTATGTGCCATGTTACCGACCTTGAAGTACAAGCACATTTGAGGGCAGTTTCACTGGCTTCAGAAATGATCTCAGGCATTGTCCTGTCTGACTAAGTGAAATGGCAAGCAGCAGGAAGTTCAAATGTGTCACACTTTTAGTTCACACAAAGCTAGAAATATGGGGGGGGGACACCTCAGCAAAATAGCAGTAGACTCTGATATCAGGAAATCAACCATATTCAGAAAATCCAGGAATAAAGAAATTTGCAAAATAGTCAGAAACAGTAGTGCAAAAAAAAAAAAAAAATCAGATGTATTGTATGCAAAACTGCTGCTGCTGCTGCTTTTGGTAAAGCTCCGATAAGTGGTGGTGTGACAGCTGCAAAAAAAAGGTCAAAGTTACTCTACCAAGAAATGTATCCAGACTAAGGTGAGAAACATTTTAAAGCAAGCACAGGGTGGCTCTGTTGGTTCAAAAATTGGCATGGAACAGAGCAATTGGGGATGCAAGGAGAGTCTCTGGCAGCTGACTCAAATGCCACTTGTGAATCTAAAAACACTTTCAAATCATTTATTGAACAGCATGAGATTAGCCAGGACCATGTGTTTAACTTCGACAAGACAGGCCTGTACTGGTCCCTGCTTCCAAACAAGACTCTGTCAGACAGTTCAGAAAAACAGACAAACAATTTCAAATACAGTAAAGATCGGGTCACGTTGATGGCTACTGCTAATACAGGTGGGGATTTCTGTCTCCGACTGCTGTTCATTCATCTCACTGCGTTTGCAGACCTCATTACAGAAGCTCTACCTGTTCATTACTCCAGCCAGTGCTTGGATGAAAAAAAGGCTTTTTCTACATCTGGGTTTTTAAACACGTTGTTCCACTTGTGAAAGATTGCCTTACATCAAAATCTTTACTTGTCCAAGCTGTGCTACTGATAGATCATTTTCATCCTGCCATTGAAAATCTATTGATGGAAGATGGAAGCAGTTTGCCTCCAAACATCACAAGTCTCATTCTGCTAATGGATGGAGGTGTCCCGGGAACATGAAATGTTGATACAAGCAAAATCTCTTATGTCAATTATTACTGGGATCAATGAACTATGAATCTTACACAGATTTTTGTAAAGCTCTGACAAAGATGTTGTGCTGAGTCCTGGCATTAGATCGGCTCAGAGCTGCATTTTGGCCAGATATTGTAACACATGAACCAGAAAATTTGGAAAATGATTATCATCAGACAGAAATAAATCAGCTACATTTTTTTCTGAAGAGCGACAGCTTTTGGATATCATCAAGGAAGAATGGAAGGAATCACTAAATGTGGATAGAATGGGCTCAGACACCCTATTCTTAGTGACCATGAGATAACTGAGTTGGTATGAAAAACAACATAATGAGATAGTGACATTGACAGTGATGGTGACAAGGAGGGAGAAGGAACACCAAGCAAGTCCCACAAATGCAAGCAGAAGAGTACTAAAAAAGGCAAAAGTTTTCCTAACCTGTCACTTTGACCACATCATCCCTCTTTTTGCATTCCTCTACTGATTCCTTCTTCTATAATAGCAATGTAATCCACTACCACACTGATCACTGCATAAGAAATTTTAAAAATGGTTGGCAGGAGCTTATCTATATTTAGACTTCATTAACAAAATAAAGGATTTAAAGATTCTGATTATGTCATTAACATACCAGTGTTAGAACAATGGGAAAAATATAAATTGGTAGCCAGAGGGAAAATACATATCAGCCTGGGATTTGGCATTAGACAAGCCATCAATATTTTAAGTTAATGTTACTTAAATATTTGTTTTTTGATTAAAAATAAAAGGGAAAAGCAAAAAATTCTGTTTGATGACAGATCCACTGAAGATGTACCCTTTTCAGAAATACGTCAGATACTCCTTCTAAAACACCTGCACATAGACCAAAAATGTATAGATTACACATTTAGCCCTCTTAAAGGATAATGGAACATTGGGTAGTTTGTTCCCTATTAAGTTCAAGAGCAATCGGTGTTCCTCCCCCTCCTTGTCACCATCATTGTCAACGTCACTGTCTTGTTATGCTGTTTCTCATACCAATTCAGTTATCTCAGAGTCACTCAGAATTAAATGGCAGAGGAAACATTTTTCTGAAGAGCAACAGCTTTTGGATATCATCAAGGAAGAATGGAAGGAATCACTAAATGCGGATAGATATATGTTACCCATAGGTCTTAATATCTTTTATATAAAGTAAATGATTAAAAAATTGGTGCTGTTTACTGGTATCTTTTGTAATATTTATATGCTTTATTTGAAAATAATTACTTTAAAGCCGAAAATACCCCAATAATGGGGCATATGAACCAATTCAATATTTATTCTGGCTAGAAATATGCTTACTGGGGCTTTCATCTATGGTTGCATTGAAGATGGTTTGGGGAGAGTGCCAATGAATCTGTAAATATACAGAGTCACTTATTAAATCCATGGCCCATCATGTCAAGTTACTACTCCGTATAGATTTAGTCCTATTAGCTGGCATATTTGATAGGATGGAGCTAAGGCTTTGTCCACTTACTGTCCACTCCCTGCCTAATATTATTTATTATTAATAGTAAAGTATTAGATTTCACAAAGACCTACAGTCCCATTGTGATGAGTGCTATACAAACACTGAAAAGAACCAGTCTCTAGTGCCTGAAGGGTTTAAAAGCTAAAGATGGTGGGAACTCGTCTACTGGGAATTAACCCTGTACATCTGGAGCCAAGATCTAAATGACTGTACATTCAATAAGAATATCTGTAGTAAAGGCTTCTGGTGATTTCCTATAATATTACAACCCAGGGAATAAACTAAACAAAAAACAAGGTCAACATTTGCAAACTTAAGTACTTAACATGAGGCACAAGTTACCCTATGTAAGCACTTATTTGGATACATAAATATATTTTAGGTATCTAACAATAAGGTACCCCATTTTGACAATGTTGGACTGAAGCTAATTGACACTTTTTGGTGAATATATGTTTTCCATAATGTCTTTTTGTAACTGTCATAGTACTGATATTGCCCATTTTCTTCTTGACTCTACAAACTAATTACATACCCGGTTTATGTATGTGCTTCTAGGTGCTGCACAATGGACTTATCATGGAAATGGATCATCCGACAGTAGGGAAGATAGCTGTTCCAGGTTGGAATATTTAATTTTTCTTTCCAAATATAACTATAAAAAATGAAGTAATGTATCCTGGCATTTTAGTCTTGTGAGCAGATGTTTGACTTTCAGTTGATGTCTCTTCTCATGTTTGTTCTAATAGCAACTCAATGAGTATGTATTGGACCAGTTCATTAATTTCGTGTCTCCTAAAATATGAATATGAATTTGATAGTGTTTGAAAACCCTCACAGTAAGAAATATTACTATTAAACCATCTATTAGGCTAGTTTTTCTTACTTCTCCACCAAGGAGTTTCTATAGGAGATGTGAATAGGCCTTTTATATATTTCTTGATTGAGAATGGACAGGCTGTTATAGTTGGCCTAAATCTTCTTCCAGTGACGTTAATGATACACATCTATTTCAATAGGAACCATTAGGTTCATGCTGAATATTCAAATCTTGATGATTTCCTACCCCTTTCTTTCTTACAAATTTACTTTTCCCCCTTCTGTGCAGAGCATCTTTCAGCTTTATTTTTATAATGTCATGTCCTTATGTAAAAACTGTTAGAGCCAAACGCCATCCTTTGATACATGAACCCAATTCCCATCAAAGTCAGCTTGGTTGAACACACATACCTGCAGGAAGAATTTGACTCATAAAGTTTCTCTTAAGTTGCACATCGTGGAGTCACATAGCGTTTCAGAAAAGACTTTTCTGAGAGGAATGAACCCTGTAGCATTTTATATTTTCCCGCATGAATTATTTTTGGTATGTTTCAATTTTACTCATTGTCACACATTATCCCCCACATTTGGGTCTCACTGGATTGAGAAGTCTGGAAGAAAAATACTCTGACAGAAAAAAATTAAAATCCCTTTTGTCTATCTAAATTGAAAAGGCAAGCAAGGTTTTTGGTTTCAATTAAAAAACAGGTAGAAAAGCCTTACAGATGGCAACAGGAAAAGTGTGTAAATTTTCATGTTGCATGCAATATATAATCTATCTTTAGAAAGAAAATACTCCTTAAGGGGCACAGTTACACTGCAAGAAGAGAAAGGAGATGAAAGGAATGTTCTAATGTCTTTCAGCAGAGATAGAAAGCACTGGCAGGAAAGAAAGCTTTCACATAGGTAGGCTAGAGTACTTCCAAACCCATTTTTTTAACGTTATTAAAACTCAAAAACTTGTGACAGTGCAGCAAAACTGAAATAAATCTTCTTATTCTCTAATGATTTGCCATTTAGATGGGTTTCTATGAAGGGCTTTTTGTATTAAAGCAGATGGCTGAAATGATCATTGGACAGTTGAACAGGAAAAGCAGAATTAATTCCTATCTTGGCATGGAGCAGGGGAAGGCAGATGAACAGAATAACACTGTACGGCTCTGCCCATAACTTGGAAATTATATTAAGAGCTTGATTACTATTGATGATAGACCTTAGGAGCATTCTCTGGTTCGATGTCAGTGATATATCTTTGACTTAGGGTGAAAACTGCACTAAAGTAACATCCTCAACGTTAATTTAAAAGTATTTTCAGGTAGTTTCCAGTGCAGTTATATTCTGCTGTTAGATAGAGACCACTTCGAGTAAGTGACTAGTTTCTACCTGAAGTTGCTGAAGTCAGATTTCAATATAGATGCTGGACAAGGCATTTTATATTTCAAAAACATATATTAATAATAGTATTGGGGAGGCTATGAATCAAGACCAAAAGGGAGTGACACTGTAACATACACACCTATTGGGGGTAGTGTACTGTCCCATGTAATGGCACTGAGACCACTTACAGAGAGAATGAGTCTGCTCTACAGTCTTAGCTAATAGCCAGCTGGTTTTTAACTCATTCCATAAAGACTCATCATGCTCCAAAGGTCCCTGCAGACAGCCTGGGGTCTGTCAGCATTACAACTATTGTCTCTGGTCCACATCTAGACACATTTTAGTAGATTAAATAGGTGAAGCAGACATCACACCTGAAGTTCTTGAGTGAGGTTAACCTTTTGTGTTCCTAAGTAAAGTTTCGAATGTAGCAACACATTTATTAGGTATGAGTACTCGTGCTAGAAGACTTTTATCATTGCATTTTGTGGCTAGCTTCTGTCTATTATAGTAAGTTGAACCAACACCCTTATTCAGATACCCTCAGATTGTGAATGAGTGCACACAGAGATGTGAGTCCTCATGTGCTGTGAAATCTTGGCTCCATTGAAGTTAATAGGAGTTTTGCCATTAACTTCAGTGAAACCAGGTTTTTCCTGTGAATTTTATGATGTAAGCTCATCTCTCTATCTTAATTATCTCTTGATTATTACTTAGTGCGATTACATTTGGGTTTCCATCCATTTAAAGGCAAGGTTCTGAATTCTTCCATCTTGTTGTAGTCCTCAGCTTGAGATGTACTGTATGTCAATGAGAGATGACGGGCTTTAGTTCTGTATGTTTTCTAATGCTCTTAACATACCTAAGAATTAAAACCACACATCAAGTGCTGGTGGAGGAGGTGCATTATCAGAAATATATTTGTAATCACTTGTGTTGCTTTTAGTCAAGATATAACTTACTAGTTTGGTATTTTCTACTTCTAGAAGGCTGGTAGTGCTATCTTTTTAAGGGGATCTTTGTGCATACATGTTTCTGCTATAATAAACGTATTGTTAGGATTTTTTTTCGAGATTTTGTTACAGATCTTAGCTACAGAAGAAGTAAGTTCTGAGTGAAGAGATGGTGTGCAAAAGGCTGTAATAGAATTAAAAAAGACGAATCGAAATATGTTTGGATTTTTGCAGGTTGGTTGTTTTCATCTTGTCTTAATTAAGACCTTCGTGCAGCACTCAGATACCACAACTATATGCCATTTAAGATCCTAGCGAGTTTGATGGATACACAGAGAAATACTAACAACCCTTTGAGGACAGAACAAATAATAGCAGAGAGAGGTGAGCTATAGGGGAAAACCCAGACCTCCCTGGATGGTACTTGGGCAGTCAAGTTAAAGTAGTGAACAGTGTTCAGGAAGTCTTGGAATCTGATCTAATCCTATAATCTTCTGGTGAAGAACATCAATTCATTTTCCACCACAGCAGCATTTTTCTCTTGATTTGTGAGAGCTACTGGGCAATGTATTTTTAATGACGATATAGGGGTTGGGGTATTAGTATATCTTATTTGTTTTTATGGCATGAATTATTGTCAAAATGTGCCAAGTTATGCTATATTTCATATGCGACTTTGAAATCTTAAATAACAAATTTTCTAGCATCTCCATTATCCAAGATAGAGTGTGGGCCTTTAAAAACTTGCCTTTTTACCTAAAAAGTTGCAAAATCATTTTAAAACCAACAAAAATATAAACTTAACAGACAAACATATATAGTCCACTTTATTAAACTTTTCAGGTAGAAACACTCATGAGCACTCTATTGTATGAGCTTCACAGGTCAGTTGTCCAATCCTGACACCATTGGCTTGAAGTTGGAGCTTTCCTTTTCCTAGATGAGTTTACTGCCAAGACTGATGAGCTCTACTTCACCCAGAAAGATTTATTTCAAGGTGGTCTTTATTTGCCTAGAAAATCCCTGTCATGAGCTATAAGTGGAATGGTAACAATTGATGCTTTATTTGTGCTACAAATTCTCATGGAAGCATTCAGGGAAAAAAGAAGGCAACTGAGTGCGGTCTTTTTGGATGTGGAGAACATGTGCAATTGTGTACCAAGAGGATTAGTTTGATGGAGTTTGCAATGAAGAGACATGTCAGAAGTATATGTCCATTGTGTCCAGGGTACATATCAAGGAGTGATTACTGTAGTCAAAATACATGGGACTGCCATAGAGAATTTCCAGTAAACACTGGCCTGCATTATGTTTAACACTAAGTCCCATTGTGTCTGCACATATCATGCATCACATATGTGTGAAACTTTAAAGAATGGCAACTTAGTTTTGAGTGAGCTGCATTTAGAGTGAAGGGGAGTGGTCCTATATCTTGCATTCTGGCATAGGCTTCCTCTAGCATATTGAGATTATCTGTGTTTGAAAGATGTGAAGTGGACAGAGGGCTGCGGATGGGAGTTTGAGAGGGAGCGCAAGAGAGCCTGCCACTGAACAGGCCAGCAGGTGAATGTACTAGCTTTGGTATGAATGAGTTTGCTTGACTGTTTGCATTTTGTTTCTCATATCAGGTGATTTCAGTTACTGTGGCAGTTGGGATTGTGTGTCTAGGAGCATTTGTTTCTTTGTTCCCTTGATTGCTTTGATTAACCTCACTCGGTCTTGTGATCAGCCTCCCCCGTGTGGCTAACAAGGGTGTAGGTCTGACCTAGGTGAGAAGGCTTTAAAAGCCAGAGGCAGAGTGACCAGGGGAGTAAAGCAGACAGGGGGCTGCAAACAGCGGAGCTTGAGGGGGAGTTCAAAAGAGGGAGAGTCCCAATATGGTTAGGAAGACGTGCAACACCTGTGCCAGCACTGCTCCTGCCAGCTCTTAATACATTTCAAAATCAGAAGCACAGAGGAGGGATCCAGCATGAGCCAGCACAACTCATTCCCTGTTCGCACCGGATCCTCCTGCTGCACTTCAGCCTTTTTACATTTAAGGCTGTTTCACAGCGGCGGGGAGGTGAGGGGGGGAGGAGGGGAGAGGACCTGGTGCGAGCCGGGAATCAGCTGGCCCAGCTTGTGCTGGATCCCCTACACTGAACTCAAGTCTTTAAAATCTATTAAGAGTCCGCCGGCTCTTAATGCATTTAAAAGGCAGAGCCACAGAAGGGTTAGCTCCCAGGGCCAGGAGCTAATCCCATTGCGGCTCCCACACTAATTGACTAGTCAATGAAAAATCCGTTGACTAGTCGATTAGTTGACTAAACTAAATTTAACATCCCTACTATAGACAAGTCAGTTTAACTTCTATGACAGAGAACATAATGGAGCAGGCAATTAAGGAATTCATCTGCAAAAATCTAGAATATAATGAGGTGATAGGTAACAGCCAGCATGAATTTGTAAAGGACAAATCCTGTCAAACCAATCT